TCAAGATAGATAGATAGATAGATATGAACAGGTTGAGTGTAATTTTGGTCGATTCAAGAAATTGTCAGAACACACCATTGCGATTGTTACATTAACAGAAGAGACGAACTGGAGAGAGAGAGAGAGAGAGAGAGAGAGAGTGAGAGACAGACAGACAGACAGAGAGTGTCCGAAAGAACGAACGTAAAAAAGAAAGAACGAACGTAAGAAAGAATGATTGATAGATAGATAGATAGATAGATAGATAGATAGATAGATATTAAAGAACAGACTAAGGTAGATAGATATTAAAGAATAGACTAAGGTAGATAGATTTTAAAGAATAGACTAAGATAGATAGATAGATAGATAGATAGATAGATAGATAGATAGATAGATAGACATTAAAGAACAGACTAAGGTAGATAGATATTAAAGAATAGACTAAGGTAGATAGATTTTAAAGAATAGACTAAGATAGATAGATAGATAGATAGATAGATAGATTGACAGATAGACTTAAAAATAAAAGAAAGAACGAAAGAGATAATTGAGGAACCCAGATATATACCAAAAATGATAAATATAATTTTTCTGTTGTCTTTTCTCTTCTTTCTCTCCTGTCAACTTTCACCCACCCACACAATGTCCTCCCCACCCCCACACCGATTAGAAACTGTGAAATCTCTCTATCTTTGCAGCGCCCCCTTTCTTTACGCCGATTCCTGATGCGTGGGGATTAAAAGAAGATACGGATGAGAGAGAGAGAGAGAGAGAGAGAGAGAGAGAGAGAGAGAGAGACAGAAATAAATCAATCATGAGAAGGAAAAAAATCCCGGCTCAACAAAAGTTGTTCAGTACAGAACCGCAGAGAGGTTTGTGGGTGGGGAACGAGCCAGAAAAATACAACAAACTGAGATCATTTTGAATGTCAGGTCGACCTTGATGAATCTTTTGTTTTCTAAAATAATAAACTTAAACGTCCCATTGTTAATTGATTAATAAGAAGATTAGAAATTCGATCACTCGCTTTCGTTTTCATGTTCGCAAGAGAAATGGAAAAAACAGAGTTTCAGTGTTATATATAGGCTGATTGTGCAAGTGCAGGCGTTTATCCCAGGCTATGGATACAATTAGTAGTATCGTTAAGCATATTACACATAAATATGTGTACAGACAAAAGATCATATATATATATATATTTCTTCCTTTAACCTAACAAGGTATAAATAAGCACACAACTTGCCAGATATATATGGGAAGTGCAGAAATAGAATAACCAAAATCCCATTGTGAAATGGGATGTGGTGAGAAAAATAATTTAATAAATGAATTAAATAAATTAAGCCAAGTAGAATAATAGGCTATTATGCTGTAATATAGACAATATAAGTTACTAGCATCACTCACTGCACTAAATATATAAATATTTATATATATATATATATATATATATATATATAGAGAGAGAGAGAGAGAGAGAGAGAGAAAAAGAGAGATAGGATCTAGCGCAAGGAAAGTTGGTTCTCCGTGTTACGCCAGAAACTTTTTCTCGCATCCTTCAAACTACCATTTGTCCTTGCATTGAATACTGTTGCCATATAGGGTGTGGCGTGCTCGCTGTTCATCTCGAGGTCCTCGACAAAATCTAAAGACGGATATGCAATGTGATAGCTTTTGACCTGGAATCTCGTCTACAGTCACATTCTCACAGACGTAATGTGGCTTACCTCTGTCTTTCCTACAAATATTTTCATGAAAACTGCTCTGAGAAGCTACTTTTACTGGTACCCCAAATGCATGAATTTAAGCGTGCTACTAGGTTGGCATCTCGGTTCCACCCATTGACTATCGAAACGGTTACAGGTAGCCGTATCTTTTACTCCAACAGCTTATCTCACACTTCACGACAGTGAAACTCCCTTCCTCCTTCTTACTTCTCTGATAGCTATAATCTTCTAATATTCAAATGCAGTGCCAATCGACATCTTCTGATGCCTTGATCTTGATCCCCGTCCTTCTCTTTATCCTTTCCTCTTTACTCTTGCTCTCATTCTCTATAACCACATTGCGTGCTAGTGACATTCCCGCCTTACTCGGGATGAAATTAAAAAAAAACGATATATATTTTTATATATCAAGAATGGTTATGGTAAAGAAATATGTATGACGAAGTGGAAAAGGTTTTCATGTAATGTATTTCGTCCTTTAGAACTTCATCGGACTATTTTATTTTATGTTGATGCGACTACGCATGCGCACAATTGAGAGACGTTGGTAATTTTAATTTTCGAAAAAAAAAAGTGTTTTGGCTATATAATCTAACCAATTTCATTTAGATTTCTTTTCTTTTTCTTTCCACCATCTTTGTCATTAAATATACCACATTGTGATAACGGTAGATCTGACAAGGACCCTGACGCAAATTTACTGCGGATGATTTTGCGATTAAAGCATTTTCTAAACATTATCATCGTCGTGAGTTATTTTCTCTTTTAATTATTGAAGCATTTTTTTATACGGTGAGCAACTAATGTGTTTAATGTGTGTATTTTTTAAATGTATCTTTTGTGTTCATATATCTTTTGTTTAATCTTGTTGAGGTTACTCCAATATATTCTTTCTGGCAATATTCTCATGTGATAGAGTAAATTTCTCCTTCAAGTTTGGTTGATTTGTTTGTTTTCTTTTTATTGATGAAGTCTTTTATTGTTTTAGATGTAGTTGTGACAAATTTAATATTGGGTTTAGATATATTCATTTCGATTGTAGTTGGGATATAATTATGGGTAGAACAATATATATTCTGATTCGTTGAGTTTGTTAAAAATGGGCCGTGATATATATATATATATATATATATATATAATTATTTATTTAAAAATATGATTCCAACACGCTACATAAGAGTTCAAAACTTCAATATATTTATTTGAAGTTTTCTGCTCTTGTTTTGAAACATGAGAAATCTTATGTAGCGTGTTGGAATCATATTTTTAAATAAATAATTATATTTATGCTCTACTTTTGTATCGAGCACTATTTTTAAAAAATAATAACAAAAATACTAAAGAAGTTTGGATTATTTACCTAACGAGTTCTTTCCTATTTTCCATATATTTTTCACACACACACATATATATATATATATATATATATGAAGAAATATAGTCATAAGTTGTGCTATATTTATGGGATAAAGTGCTCAATATCAGAAATAGAGAGTATGTAAATATAAAAGTGAACATAGAAGTCAACACTTAGAAGCGACAGTCTGTTTCATGCTAGATGCAATCGTCAGGCCACGATATATATATATATATATATATATATATATATATATATATAAGACGAGTAATGCGGCATATAGGACTATGCGCATGTATAGTCACACTGATGAGCTGTGATACAGCGAAACTGTTTCTCTGGGGATGACTAATATATATATATATATATATATATATATATTTAAGTTATGAATAACTTGGTAAACCGAATTGGTAAATCCAAGGAGGATGAAATCCTGAGAGCTCAATGTGAAGAACAGAGCTAATATTTAATGAAAAACAGACCACTTTAAGGTACCATTACAATAATTTATTTCACCAAAATCCTTTTTAAAGGATTTCGGATCATCAGGTAAAGGATTTCGGATCATCAGATAAACACTTCAAACAATTTCATTGTTGGAAGTGTTTACCTGATGATCCGAAATCCTTTTAAAAGGATTTTGGTGGAATAAATTATTGTAATGGGACCTTAAAGTGGTCTGTTTTTCATTAAATATATATATATATATATATATATATATATATATATATATATATATATATATATATATATTAGAGGTGTGCAGATTATGTTATATATCATAAAAAAGTAATTTACACAAAGAATTAACAAGACTTTATGAGACATTAACTTACTATCAATTCCTTGCATAATGAGATCCTTATATTTCAGTTGTTGTGTGATGGAAGACATATACCAGGTACTTTCAACAATTTCAAATTGTTATCTTCAGGGCGCAATTTTCCCATACACAGGTAAACACTAAGACGAAATATATGTCGACCTAAAGATTTTTTTTTTAATTACCGTATTTATTGACAGTTAAATATATGTTTTGGGGTGTGCTATGTCGCGGCGCTAGAGTTCTTGTTCAAATCGAACAATTTTGTTTGAAGTTGAAAGGTTATAGATCCACGAAATATGCGTGCAGCTTATATTATATATAAAAGAAATTCAAATATAAGGATCTTATTATTCATAGAAATATTATTCAAAGAAATGATATTATTACGAGTAAAATAAGTTCTGCCGCTGTGTAAATGGTTGGTAGAACACAGTTTAGGAGAGATAGAATAAAGACAAAATTCACTAACAGCCTCAAACGACCGGACAATGTGGAGAGCCACGATCGCAAACATGCTGAAGCGATACGGCACATGGAAGAATTAGAAGAAAATAAAACGCATTCTTTTGCTATACTCCATTTATTATTTTTTGTGTATTTGCTAAACATTTCCTATATACGCCAGTAATCTGTTTGGACCCAATAAGGTTTACGGCCTAAAAGGGTATATTACATAGACAAGCATACATATCCATAAGCTAAGTAGGTGGGCATTTTGACCTTCTTTTTGAAAGAGCGTGTGACAACTTTGAAAACGCCTTGATTTTATTGTAAAATTAATTGAAAGCTAAATATTATGCGAAACATATTTACACAAAGATTAGTAAGAACAGAAATTCTTAGAGACGCAATCAAGTGTCTTTCACCCAAAATATTCGTAGCTTAGTAATACGATACTTTATATTACAAAACATTTATATTTAAAAATTGTTGTAATGTTGACTGTTCAAAATAACCAAGAATTAGGAACTCCGTAGTTAAAATATCGAGGAGAAAAGAAGACACAGTAGGGGAAACAAAAAAGACGTTATTCATTTTCAAAATAACAAAGAATTAAGAAGGACTTAGAATATCGAGGAGAAAAGAAGACACGGTAGGGGAAACAAAAAAGACGTTATTCATTTTCAAACTAACCAAGAATTAAGAAGGACTTAGAATATCGAGGAGAAAAGAAGACACGGTAGGGGAAACAAAGAGGTTACCATTTTGAAAATAACCAAGAATTAGGAACGCCGGAGTTAGAGTATCGAGGAAACAGAAGACACAGTAGGGGAAACACATAGATCTGTTAAATACTCATACATATAACGGAATAACCTACGTAAATACTCTTCAAAGGACATTGGTTTTTGAAATAAAATGTGGCACAAGGCCAAATGGGGAAGGCGGGTTTTCGTCTGTCTTATTATTAAACTTAGCTAGCTACAATCATTGACCCAAACATACCACAGTAATCCTTGCACCAGACTGTTTCATGCTAGACGCAGTCATCAGGAGTGCGTCTAGCATGAAACAGTCTGTCGCCTCTAAGTATGGACTTCAATGTTCACTTTTGTATTTACATACGTTCTATCCCTGATATTGAGTACTTTATTCTATAAATATAGCACATCCTGAAAGTATAATTCTTCATATATATATATATATATATATATATTTAATTTAGTTACTTCCAGTGATTCCTTACAAATTAGCTTGCTGTGATGAGAAAATGTCTCAAGTTTTAGTAAAAACAATTTTTTCTCAGCTTAATATTTATGTTATTATTAAGAGGAAAAACCAAGGAATTTTTATAATTAATTTATAGTATTTTTTTATCCCTTTTAAAATGTTCAAAATTTTGGTAGCATTTTTTTTTTTACGTTAGCGGTGGGCATAGCATATTTTAACGACTTTTTTGTGA